ATCCTGACGGAACCATACAACAACCACTACGGTCCAAGAGGAGACTCACGTCCTCTACAATGATGGACGTGCAGTCACTGCGCCGTCCGCTCCCCGTGGGGTTGTGGATCAACACCCCAGTCCGTCGCGCCGCCCGCCGGGGCAGGATAGGATGTGACCACTTGCTGATCAAGTCAGAGCGTGGCATCATCAATGGACACACGCCCAGCATGGAGCTATCCCTGGCACCGTCTATCGTGTCAGCATAGCTGGCTCAGAGGAAAAGGAAGACTCGGCACCTTCGAAGGACCTTCTTTGCCTCTGGTTTTTCTTCTTTCTCCCATCTACAATCCCTACTTCCCCTTGGTCTATAAAAGGGAAGGCAGGGCACCCTACTAAGGGGACGAATCGATTCCACACACACATCACACCACATAGCTAAGCAACATCCAAGCTCTCAGCACCCGTTCGACCTTTCCATCAGAGACTTGGGACATGTCCCTCTCTCACCCGTTTGTACCCCCTACTATAAACTTTTCAGTTCAAATAACATGAGCAGCAGCCACAAACTAGACGTAGGGACATTCCGCCTGAACCAGTATAAACCTTGTGTCTTTTTAGCACACCATCCGAGCCAGACGCGCAATAATACAAATTTACTAGTTGGGTTTACTCGAAACATCGACACATCCTTTTCTCGTAGTTTTCTAGTGTCTTAGGGTTGAGTCCAAAATTTCTGGCAAAATTAGATGATTTTTAGTCGGGACCATGTGTTCTGCGATGACTTCGATGATTGCCACGATGAGATCGTCGTTGCAGGTGTCGAATTCATCGGCAGGCGGTCAATTTGTTGCCTTTATCTGCAAGAGGAGGGTGCATCTGGGTCGCCCTGGGCATTCGGTTAACCGAAACCAATCGGTTCGGTTCTTTGATTTGTTAAGAAATTCGGTTCCATCAGAACTAGGGACCGATCGGTTCTTTGCAAAAGTAGGAACCGATGAAATTTGGTTTCGGTTAATTCAGTTCAGTTCTAGTTAAAACTGAAGTAACCGATTACGGGTTCAACAAGCCAAGGAAAAAGTGGGAAAAGTGAAAAAAACAAGCCGTCGATCTGCGCCTCGCCACACGTGCTGCTCCGGCTACATCTGGTGGATGGAGAGAGAGGTGGAGGTTGGAGAGCCGCCGGTGCCCACAAGTTGGGGGCCGACCAACGCCGCCGCCGCTCACCTGCTTGGATCCGCCAGCCGACGAGGGGTGTCGCGACTATGAGCGCTGCTGTTGGGGCAAGCCACCACCACCACTGCTCTCCTGCTTCGATCCTGGCGTTGAAGGGAGGCACCATAGCCACGCGCATTGAGGGCGGCAGCCGCCGCCGTGCTCTCCTGATGGGGCCGCCACCATGCTCTCCCGATGGGGGCCGACCAACGCACGCTGGAGTGGTCCGGCTGCTTCTAGGCACCTGGCGGCTGGGATAGGAGAAGGATGGGGGTGATTGAGTCTTAGGGTTTTAGGAGTGGGACGATCAAATATATACCTATACCAACACTAGTGGGTTGGGCTACATTGTTTCTACTAGGCCTTTGTATATTATTTGGTTATTTCGGTTAACGGAGCCCAGGAACCGAATTAACCTTATAAATTCGATTACTAGAAACTGGGAACCGAATAGGGAACAAAAGTTTTTGGTTTCGGTTATTTCGGTTTCGGTTCCGATTATTTGGGTTTGGTTTTCGGTTCTCGGTTATTTTTACCCAGGGTTACTACGAGGGCAGAGACTCTAGATCATCGATCTCACCATCGATGGTCGCAGAGAGGATTTCAAGGTCTCAAGGTGATGAATCTACATCTTGTGTCGTACCCGACGATGCAACTGGCGATATTCTTTCAGCGATTTAGATGCGTTTTGGATTGGTTCCGAAGCGTTGGATCTTGCGGCATGTCCGATGTTTTGGGGTTGGTTGGTGGATTCGGCATAAGAACTGTACTTTGGCTCCGGCATTCGAGGGAAGCAATTGGGGAAGAAGATAATGAAAGAATTTGGATAGAATATTATGTATTTTTTATTTTAGATTTTTTATGTGTAATTTGGGGATGTATTGTACCAAGATTTAATATAAGTTCTCCTTCCCTTCTCAAAAAAAGTTGGCATCCTTTAGTTGCTTTACTCAACTTACCAACTCGGACACCTTGGTTTTATTTAAACTTTTGGTCTTTTGCATCCTTGTACATAGTAGATATTATGTTCACAACAGGTAAGTCTTCCGAATCCTGGTGGCTCATATCATATTGGCTTCAAATGGGTTGGCTTTGCATACCAATATCAATTGATATTCGATTATATATTTCAATTGTTTGAACTCTAGAATTCATGGTTTATATATGCAAATTGATAATATATTGTGATAAATGTTTTCTACACACACTTCTGCCATTTATCCGTTACTTTTTCATTGTTGAATTCTTAATAGTTGGAACACCCATGAGGAAGGATCCTAATTTAAGTGCAAGAGATGATACCATGAAGATGGGTATTGTGGTAAAATTTTATATCCTTTCTTAGTAGTTCTTGCATTTTTTTCTATGACTAATATGTAAACAGATATTAGTTGTATACATACAACAAAAGTCTTTTGTTTTGTTGCCATGATCTATGCAATACAAGCATTAAATTGAAATAATACAAATCATCACAATATCTTTCACCTAAAGTATTCCAAGGTTATCGTATCCACAAGGAAACATGGGACAAATAGTTGCTAGACTAATCTATGCATCTAATGAAGCTTTGTTAAGAGATAGGGTGCACAACATAAGGGTTTCAAAATAACAAAACAAGAGAATTATAGAAGAAGTAAAGACATATCGCATGCTAGAAATAATATAGAAGACATAACCAATCAAGAATCCTTACCCGTAAATATTCTATTTATAATTCTAGATATAGAGCAAGTTACATAAAGCAAAATGATATTTGAACCACTGTAAACATTCAACCCCTTTACTACTAGTTGCCCTACACACCAGGCCCATGTTGATGGTTCAAAGGGTATGAGTATATCAGCACTAAGTAATGGCATCTACCACATATAGGCCCCGTTCGCTGGTCTGAAACTTGGCTGAAAAACACTGTTCTGGCTGGTTTGTTGTGAGAGAAAAACATTGTTCAGCTGGTTTGGTGAACAGTAACTTGAGAGGGGTTCCAGCCGGCTGGCTGGTCTCGGTCAGACCAGCGAACGAGCCCATAACAATGGTGCATCACATTGGATATTCTAAACTAACATTAGACTAAGGATAACATAACTGGAATATAGAAGATACATACGAGGATATTGGATCCTAAAGAGATCGCATGGCAAAGAAGCATGCTCATGATAGATTTGTATCTTTGAGCATCTTGACCTTGTATATACCTTTGACAATCAAGTATATTACTCTAGAGCTCCAACATGATTCAACCTCGCAAAACGATTATGTCAGCTAGGATTTAACACAAACTAAACCCAAGAAAACCTGAAGATTCACAACAATCACAAAGTAGGTTTGCCTATTTGGTGGCTCTCGATCAACTCCCAATGTGTAATTTTGTTGATGATGAATTTATCCCATATTGTTGATAGTGGTAAGGAATCCCTTATTTATATCTTAGGATAGTAGGGTTCAAATCTCAGCACGAGATCACATAATATCAGCCAGGGTGACTTACCTAGTTGACCTTCCTTCATTATAGCATGATGCACGCCCAATCTTCTCCAATTTATTGTAGGTCAGTTAGGAGTCCTATAGAAGATTTCTATGGGTCTTACATGTGGTTCTTGATGTAACAAGTAACATATCTTCGGGAATGACCAAGAGGCAAGACCCACATTCTTGATTTATTTGCTCTAACTCTTCAAGATATACCTTTGTGTCTCTACAAGAATTATATGATGCTTTCATAAAGACCCATGGTAATGACTTCCTTATAAGAGATTGTTTGGGGAAATGACCCTCGCTTGCAGTTGACTTATTCAGCATGATGTAAATCTATTTGGAGTTGTGAACTCAAACTTAGTTTTTCTTGTTTCAGTTATTGAACCTTTTGTTAAGATCGTATGCATTTTCTTGTACTGAACTATTCTCGTCTACCCAGACTCCAATAATAAAAATTCTATGACACAATTTGAGTATTTGGATGCGTCTCATAAATAAATTCAAGTTACTATGTAAATAAATTGATAATCCACCTCCCTTCAAGGTTCATTTGTTTGATTGTTCAAGCTTTTTTAACAGTTTTAGACTCTTGTTGTTCATCTGGTTTTAAGCTATACAACTTATTAGGTTGCTTGCTTGTACAGGACGACTATCTTTGTGCAATTTGTGATGACGGCAGTTTCTTGATATGGTAGGTATATATTGTAGGTATATTGTTCTATTTTTTTCTCCTAGGTATATAGTCATGTGGTTGCATTTCTTATGTCCCACCTTCAACATCTTTGCTATATGGATGGCCAGTCCCTAAATTGGTGGATCGTGTAATATTTATTAGTTGTATTTGATAAGGTGCTAAGAATTGTTATACAAATTTATCATAGTTCAAGCAAAAATACATTGACTTGCCATCTAGTCACTGTGTATACCAATTCAGTTATTACCTCATTTTTTCAACTAGATTGTATGGACACTAAGGTTATTGATATTGGAGTAAGCACTAATCACCTTAGCTATTCAATGATCAGTATATCCATGACTAATTTGATTTATTGTAGCTGTGATGGTGAGTGTGGAAGGCTGTTCCATCCAAACAGTTCCATGGTCAACATTCTAGTTGTAGAAGTCTTGAACTGAAGGATGACCAATGGGTGGTGGATGCTAATCCTTTGCCTAATGATTTGGTTTTGTTATTGTTTTATTATGTCAACATAGCCTTTTTATGTCCATACATATCAATGATGTAGGAACCGAAATCGGCCAACTTTATATGCAAGAATTGTGAGTATAAGAAGCACCAATGTTTTGTTTGTGGGGAGTTAGGATCCTCCGAGATGCCTTTAGGTTCACCAGAGGTATGTCTATCAAGAAAAGAAAAGACTAATATTTCATATAAGATGTTTCCTCTTCTATTCATGATAGGATATTTTTCTTGATTTTCACTATGAGTTTTATGTAACTGAGGATAAGTGAAAAGGACCGATGATGCAACACTACTCACGTCCAAAATTTGCCTATAGTCCAGGTCCTCATATGGAACGAGTCCACGTACAAGGTGTTATGCGTATACGAGCTCGTTTCATATAAGGAGCTGGGCCATAAGCAGATTTTGAGCATAGGATGTTACAGAGGAATTTTATCTACAAGAGCTGAAATTGTTGGGAGTAGAAAGAATGAAAGAGTGAACAATACCTTATTTCATATGTGCTCTGACTACTTCACAACGTTTTGCATATGCATATGCTAATGAAGATTGGTCATTTTCCTTCATTTTGCTAACTTTTTATTTACCTTTTATCAGGAGGTCCTTAAATGTCAGAAGAAGTATTGTGGGCGCTTTTACCATCCTAAATGCCTTATGAAGTACGATCCTAGTAAAAATCACCGGGACTTCGAGTGCCCTTTGCATGAATGTCATTCATGCAAGAATAAGGGAGGAACAATAATAACTAGGAAACAGACAGAAAAGGAGGAAACATACTTGGTACAATGCAGGCGTTGTCCCGTGGCATACCACCGGAAGTGCTTGCCAAGGTACCGTATAGTTTGTGTACTTAGATACCGGTGATATGGACATGTTGTTGATTTAAATGAATTTGTTTGCATTGACCGTTGGTACTTGTTTCACAGGGATCTCCTTACCGACGGTGAAGTCCCACGAACATTCAAGATTGGGATGCCAAGAGGCCCAAGACGAGTTCCTTCAAAAAAAAGAGGCCCAAGACGATGTTTTTTTCTATTGTAGGCAAGTTTTTTAGCTTTCTCCATCCTTACATGTCATTTAAGATCTGTTACTGTTTCCAATCCCCAACATGTGTTTCAGAATCAGTGATTTCTGCAAAAATGTATAATCATTTCCAGGAAACATGAGATGGTGGGAAAACTCAACAGTGCAACACGGGATCATCTGAAATTTCCAGAAAGCCCTGTTGTGTTCAAGTTTAATCTAAATGAGAAGCTTCCTGAAGAAACTGAAGCACCTGAGCCTAACGCGAGTACCAGCTCTGCTCCCATGGAGTCCTCTGCATCTCAGCCTTCATTCCCATGTCCGCAGCCAGAAGGCTACGGTGTCTGGCTGGATGATTGATCATTCATTACCTCCTCATGTTCGTGTTCTGGAGAAAGGCGGGCGGTTCTGTGTTGATGAGAATTCTCAAGACAATCAAAACTGCTGAAGTGTTTGGCATCATAACTTGGTAACGTTGTTTGTTGTCTGCTGCGTCATCTGCTGATGTAGCTAGTTCTGGGTTGTGACTGATCACCGTATCAACAATGAACAATCTGGATATCATGACATCGGTTTCTTGCTTATATTTTGTTTGTTTGGACCGAGACTTGAATTCGTTATCAGCTTTCAGTAGACCTACCGAGGAGCAATTTCTGTCCAATTATCAGCCGGTGCCTTCATGCCCCTACTTTGTGACTCCCTTTTGTTTAGGACATTTTTTTTGTGACTGTTGGCTTGTGGAGGCATCCATCTTACTGCTTACAGGTACGCAATGCATCTTGACCAGCTCACTGAGGGCGACGGCCTGGTTGTGGTGGATCTGCTGGTGGTTTGCTTGCAGGTGATTAGCTGGATTGTGTTGTTTAAGTCCCGGCAATTCAGTTTCTGTACATGCTCGTCGCCTTGCTGAAGCTGTTACCACTATAATGACCTGTTGTTCGTGGAAAGGAACAAGCGAGCAACATCAGTGGACTACCCATTGCAGAATTGCAACTTGGCAAGTCCAATAAGTGATGCTTGCATCACAGAGCATTCAGTTGAGACGACATGAACGTCCCACTATTCTAGAGATCAGATGAGATGACGGAGTAGCCTTACCCTGCAGGTCCCAAGCGAAAGCGACCGGGGTAAAAACAACAACAAAAACACCACGCATTTATCTCCGGTGATGAAGATGCGGCTGGAGTTAACGCAGGACTGTGATAGACTGTGATAGACGGCAAGCGGGGGAGGGGTGGTAAGCATGGGCGGCGCTTTTGGTGCAGCCTCCGTGCCGTTGTCTCCGGTCACAGTCTCGGGGCAGAACGGGGGACTCCACCAACTCCACGCCTCCGCAACCGCCACTTTCGGTTCATTCGTTCCTACGCTTACGGCGCGCTGCCTCGCCGTGGGCGTGCGAGTAACGCGATATCTCCCTGATTCGATCGTTGATCCCGTATTCTCCCTACCTTTTTAACCGCGATTACCTATGCTACAGCTTGCGAACTTTCAACTTTTGGAGTCCTCCCCTGGCCGCCGCGACCGCGTGCACTTTCCCTGAACTTTTCACCCAGCCTTTTACCCTTTGCCAGGCGCGCCGCGCGCGACAACGGCAGCAACCGCTACAGCGAAGCAGGCAAGGCAGGCCGACCCCTCCTCACCCACCCCACCACACCACCACCGCTCTCGCACCGGAACAAAACGCGGAGTCTCCGCACTATCGGCGAACCGATTCCGTGTGCTGTTGGCTGTCGCGTGTCGCCTACTTGGTACAGGCTCGGCCGCCGTCCCCCGCAGCAGCCGTTTTCTAGCTGCTTCCCGCTGGTTCGCGGCCGCCGTCCAGGGCGTCTGAGCGAGTGGTAACCCTGCCTTTTTGTTCCTGGGGTATTCCTTAGCTCGCACCGTTGTCGCTTCCCCAATCCAATCCTCCGTAACCGATCGGCGCGGATGGAGGCGCTGAAGAAGCAGGCCAGCAAGCTCCGGGAGCACGTCGCCAAGCAGCAGCAGGTACGGGTTCCTGGTTCCCCCTCTGAATTCGAGCAATTCTGCTTCGCGACGATCAAACGGGCGTGGCCGGATGCGCGGCGAGGGCGCGGGATTTGAGCAGACCCTGGGAAGAACGTGTATATCGTGCTGTGTTGGTGTGCTTGCTCACGCAGTTGATTAGTTCTGCAAAACTAGTTTTAGTTTTGGGGTTTCGAGCTCCTAGATGTTGTGTATTGGGTTGGGAGGGCAGGAGCAATTGGAACTAGAAGCAACTGAATTGTGTGTGTCCTTTAAGCGTATTGCCAGCCTGCTTCTGGTTGAGTATGAGCACTACCCAATTGCCCAATTCTTGCCGTTGGCCTGTGGCTGCTGATTTGTTCTGCGGCTGAGGGCTTACTTCATATATTCGCATAGACTGTAAAGCCATTCCCTTGCTTCCTTGCCTGTGTGGCCTCGTTGAGAGAGTTATGTGTCATGATGCAGGCGGTTCTCAAGCAGTTCAGTACACGATATAATCAAGATCCTTCTCTTGTTGATGAAGCGGAGCTTGAGTGCCACCAGAATCTCCAAAGGCTTTACAGCACTACAAGAGCAGCTAAGGTATTAGTTAACTTCAGCTTATCACATGCCTCACAAAAATACTAGCCTAGCTGATTGTTTAAGGGTTCTCTCGGCAAAAACTCTTGTTCTGTAGCATTTCCAGCGAAATATTGTACGAGGGGTGGAAGGTTTCATTGCGATTAGCACCAAACAGATGGAGATAGGTGAGTTTTGGTATTAGTTTTTCTGCTATATCTGTGTGTTCCTTATATCTTGGGGTATTTTGTAATCGTGGTATGATGTTTCTGTAGTGAAAAAACTAGCCGGGGATTGTTGTAAATATGGAAACGACAATCAACATTTTGGTTTTGCTCTTGCAAGGGCATCTGAGGAGTTCGGTAAATCTCATAAACAAATAGAGAAAGAGCGGGAGGATCTTCTTAAAAGTCTTGGAGAGCAGGTAATGAAAATTTTTCACTTGTTGATAGAATTTTCATGGTTGTGAATGCTCTTTAATCCTTGAAGTAGCCTAGATCATCTAAGTTGATATATCTTTGATGTTAACTTTAGCTTATTGGCTTTATTGACAATTTTACAGGTTTTTGAGCCTCTCCGAGAAATGATAATGAGTGCTCCTCTTGAAGATGCTCGATTGCTAACTTACCGCTATCAACGGATCAGACAGGACATGGAGTCTCAGGTAACGAATCATAAAAACTATTTTTTTTCCCTACAGAGACTAGTGGCAGCTACTAATTGTGAATTATTTTATTAGATAGCTGATGTGATGAGAAAGCAACTTAAATCCAAGGAAAGTAGTGGTAACACAGATAACTCTGTGAAACTGCAACATGCAGAATCGAAATTATCAGATCTTCGAACTACACTGGCAGCATTAGGAAGAGAAGCAACTGCAGCTATGGAGGCTGTAGAGGCTCAGCAACAGCAAGTAACATACGAACGTCTCCTTGCAATGGTATGATTTGGCTCGGCATATTCATATATTAAGTGAAAGCACCTGATCCATTTTCGCAGTGATTAGGATCTCCTGTATACAACCACTCAAGCCTTTCCATCTCAACAACCTGCACTTAATTGCTAGATTTCACATTTCTAAAGATTAGCCATCCTTGGTACTATTTTCAGCATATCTCTTATATAGTTATCTATGATTCTTCTTGTGCTACATGTTCAGACCGGGGTTGGGTGTTGACCCCATCCTCAGTGTTCATTCTAGAAATTTGATTAACAAATCATCCCTTGTTTTGGAAGAGTAGAATTGGGATTTTTGGATTTAAACCTGTAACACTAGGTTGTCTAATCTAGGGCCTGTTTGGTACAGCTTATAAGCTGCTTGTGGCCAAAATAAGCTGAGACTAAGAGCATCTCCAAGAGTTTACAAAACTCACTAAAACGCTCTCCAACAACTCCTTATCTCAACTATCAATCTTTCCGCACTTGGGAAAATCAATCCAAGCATATACGCGCGTGTATCGATCGGCCAATCTGGAGGTGGAAGGACGTGGGGAAGAATATGAAATAAGGATAGGGTTCACAATGCAAATGCAAAAGAGAAAAAAGAAAGTATAAATATGGTTGTGGTGTTTTGGAAATAGTTCGAGATTCCTGATGCAAAATTGTCTTCTACCTTTTAGGAGCGAGATTTTCGAAACGGTTGGAGGAACCCAACAAATGTGATCCCAACTTTTTGTAGCCACTTGAAAAAACTTATTGATCTACCAATTGTTTTTTAGAAATTCTTGGAGATGCTCTAAAAGCCAAATGGCATGTTTTTTACAGCTTTTTCTAGCCACGCTTCTCCCCGCAGCACCCAAAGCTGGGTCAGAGACCACGCTTTTGCTTTATTTGTTCAGCTTCTCAGATAAGCGCTTTTTTTACCGCTCTACCAAACAGAGTCCTAATCCCCTTTGATTAACTGTCTTCAAATGTCATAGGAGTAGTAGAATTTGCATGTTAACTAAAAGTTTTGGAACTTCTTGAACAAAGAATCAACATTTCTCTTGCTGTGGTCATTCGTTCCAACTTTGTGTTTCAAATTCCTGAATTCCCAGACAAATAGTTCCAGTATTGCCATGTGCTGCTGTGTTTGCAAACCTGTGCAGTCTTCTGTTACTTTGACTTGAAGAATGTCTATCACTCATCTGCATGTTTCTTGGATAAAGAGTTAGATGGCTCTTGACAACCCTTAGTCTATGCTTACAGGTTGATGCTGAGAGGACATATCATCAAAATGCTGCTGATATTCTAAATAAACTCCATGATGAGGTGCACAACTGGCCCAGAAAAATGTGCTTTTTCACCTGTATAGCTAGTCTGCATTGTCTTAAACCTTGATACGCTGAAGATCATTATGTTTCATTTTTCGCTTATGCGCAGATGCTCTATGCAAAGCATCACAATGAGTCAGAAAACCATTACGATGAACAGTCATCAGAGCCTGAATCAGATACAGGCCCAGCACAAGTGCACTCACATAGCACATCTGAAGATCCAGTATTAACTAAACCTAGCGAATCCACAGGAAATAGTCAGGAGGTGCAATTTCTGGGGGAGGTATGATTGTTTTTGGCCCTGCGTGCTGTGAATATCATTGTATATAAATGCATTAGTTTTTAGGATGTGTTTGCTCTAAGCTCGGCACTTCTCAATATACTATGCTTAGAATTTCCATGGTCCACCTTCTGTCTGGCATGAGTTTTGTCCTATCTTCTGTTAAATATTTTAGATAATCTGATGGAGCTTTTTGGAAGTGCCATGTAATTTGGAACTTCTCTGCTGGTTACTTTTAAATTCAATTATAAATATATTATCCCACAATATAGTGTTTTAATGGC